AGAGTTGCCATAGTGATAAAAAAGGGAACAGAATCTGCTTGTCTTTCTGGGATAGCAGAATTATTAAATTAAATGCATCTTTTCCATTAAAGGAGAGTAGCATCATATTTCTGAGAAGAACTGTTTTAGAGTAGAAATAATGTGTTTTAAGCTGGTGTCCTGCATTAATCATATTACTTCTTCAGGCACTTCTAGGCTTGACTGGCAGTTCTGTGCTGGGGCAGTTTATAGCACCCCTGCATCTCCCCCATTGCAATTGATGGAACAGCTGCGTAGAAAACACCTTGCTTGTGAAAGTCTGCTTTACTCCATCAGAAGTCATTGCAGTTGTGACCACAAAGAACCAGGCAAGAAGCAAGAGTTGCACAAAATTATAACACAGAAACACGAGTATAAAACGTGAGTTGCCGGAGGATGAGGTGGGATGAAAGGAGCCACCCCAGGATGAAGGAGTGCAGAGAATGTGGCCTGCAGAAATGGTAGAGAGGAAAGGAGATGAATGACAGTTGAATGAACTGATAGAGAAGGCAACAGGGGAGGGAACATCCTTAAGCTTAGAACAAAATGGGAGTGAACTGCAGCATAACCCAGGTTTTTGGAGAGAAGCTTTCTGCTTTTGTTGTAATGGAAGTGCACCGGCTACCATGCTGGTATGTTGAAGCTTGAGTAGCCCTGTGATACACATCCATGCCCATTCATTGCAGGTGGAAAAAGAAACAACTCACACTGGATTGCCTTTTTCTTTTGTTGCTTTCAGGAAAGTAAATTTAACAAACTTTAAGCAAAATACAAGTCTTTGTGATGGCTCAGAGTCCCACATGAAAATGACCATTCTTACCAGGCTGCTAACACCGTACTGCATGTTCTTGCTGATTTATCTTCTCTGCTGACTTGTAACTACCTAGTAATCTTCCCCTGAACTACCTAATTTGAGATCAGAGTTCTGTTTCAGAAATATAAAAACAAAGGTCTTCTGAGTATCTGCATTTCCCCACCTGCCCCCTCATTTCACATAGGAAAAAACCTGCGGGCAGAGGCAGGAGCTGCGGCGTTTGAGCCTTCTGACTCGTTTGCTTCGGAGCTGCTGGTTTCGGCTTGCAGAATGAATAAGCAGCGTAAAATCTTTACTACGTGTAGGCTCTATCATCTGATCATATTTGCCAGTAGTTTTTTGAGATTTCAATTAGCAGTGGTTTAGATAAAGTTTTACGGAAGGTCACCTGATCTCAACGTTCAGATAATTAACCAGGAAATGCAGTTAATGCCTTACGCACTCAGATGTCTTTCAGTGTTTGATATGCAGGGGTTCTGCCTGATTCTTCCTTTTCTTCCACCTCCTATTTGTTGCCTTCCCACCGGTGAGGAGCTGGCAGTGGTTTGCTTTGCTGGAGTCCCTACCTGACTGCGTTTGCTGGAGGTGGTTGCTGCTGGAATAAATGCCGAGCTGCTCCTCAGGTTACCAGTAACAGCTCTGAAACGCTGTTGATCTTAACGCTGTTTGGCGGCAGGTTGTTCTACCACTAAAACTCCTCGTTGATCCCAGCCTAGGTTGAAAACTCTTATAAATAGATAAGAGTTCATTAGAGCAGTTCTTGCACTGTGTTGTGCATGTCTCCTAGCCTCTGGAAATCACAGTCCTGTTAATAAGATTAACTCCTCTGAGGCAAAACTACATTTAAAAGAACCTGAAACTATGAACTTCTATGGGCTTTAATAAACTAGTCTGGTGTATGGTCCCTCCTGATTTTTGTCTCCATATTTACTTCAGGGATTGCCACATAAGAAAGATAGGTCTTTCCACCTTTTCAGATATTTATTTTTTTTTTTAAGATGGTTTTCAAACAGAACAAAGCCTTTGGCAGTTTGTTTCAGTGGCAGTAATTTACAAAAATGAAGCGTAGGTTAAAGGGCATGTCTAATGTTTTACAATCTTATCAAACTTTCTGCTGTTTTTTTAAAAGTTGTAGACTGCTGTAACTCTTTAGCCTTAGGTTCCTTTCACTTATTGAAGCACAGCTTTAGACATTGAAATACCATGTGGCAGAGAGCAGGTTTAAAAAAATTCACATGGAAGCTACTCTGCTTCCAGAACAGCAAGGCACTTCTTAAAATTTCAATCAAGTATTTATTACTTAATGACCACCTAGAAAAGGAAAAATTATCCTCATCATATTAAGCACTCAGTTTGGAAAACTTGAAAGGTTGCTTTGTTGTTGTACAGAGTTGTGATATGTTTAATAACAAGACCTATTGAAAAGGAAATATTAAAATATGATAAACCAACCATGCGGTACCTGTTAGGATTGCAGTTCCTTGGTGCTTTTGGGATGTTCTAGCGGTTTAGAGTTTAAACAAACTTAAAATGAAATTTTCTGTTCTTTGTCTTTTGAGACCGAAATATTTGTAATATTTTTCCTAAAAATCTATTTTTAAACATTTTTCCTTTAATACAAAAAAGTTAATCTTTCCTGGTAATGAAATGAGATGAAGAACATGTCTCTCTTTCTTTTGGAGAAAGAACTTAAATTCGGTGTAAAATTTGCATAGCGTTCTCACTGCCTAAAGAAAAATCTCTCTTCTGCTTTCTGAAAATTCAACTGTGTTTAAGATTCTGCCAGAGGCTTATAACATTACGCTGCACAGGCTCAGCACATCCGTGCTAGGCAACTTCGTTGTCTGCACTGGATCTTTTCCGCCTCCTCCCCGGCGGCTGAGTGTGCTCCAGCCTTAAGCTGCAAGGTCTAAGAAGGACTTTGCTCGCGCTGTCTCCTGCAGGCTGGTGTGGCCCAAGCAGGGCCATGGAAGTAGTGGAAATAGGTTCCTGTATGCAGCATTTCTCTCTCCCAGTTTGGGCTCACCACTGTGCTTTCACAGTTGCGGTGGTGGCTGTAGTGCTCGTAGGAAGTTGTAGCAAAGCGGTGCTTGCCAGAATAGTCAATATATTATTCAATTTTAACTCCACCAAACCTGCAAGCAAGTTCAAAGAAGACTAGAAGGGCCAAGTCTTCATTGCAGACAAATGAAGTTTGTAGTTGGGGACTTGGACACAAGGGGAAAATGAATAATGGCCAAACAGCTAATGTTCCTATTTCTGGCCTCTGAAAGGTTTATAGTTGGTCATAAGCTACTTTCTCAGAATCTCACTTTTAGTTTTGGAAATTTTTTTCACTGTTATTCTGATAGACCATCACAGTATGAATGAATAGCTGTAGACATCAGATTATCCTTTCTCATACCTTGTCTGAAATAGTGGGTTAAGATGAGTAGGTAAGTTTATTAAATACTTTGCTATTAATTCTTCAGAGAAAGGCTGTCAAAATACATGTTGTAATAAATAGTAATGAAAAAAACTAATTTCTTTGAACATACAGTCCTACAAAACAAACACAGAAATACAGAAAATAAGTCTTGTTATTTGTGCAATGTGATAGTAGCCAATACCACTTTTCTTTAAAAGCAGTCTTTATTACTAAGCTTTTGATGCTGTTAAGCAATTGGGGTTTTTTGGTCTTATATGCTATCTGAATTATTCAACTTTGCTCTGGAACACAGCACATACATGATAAACTCTTACATTGCCAAGTAACAGCTTTTTTTTTTTTAATGTGTATACAGAAGAATCTGACCCACTATAAAGATACAACATTTTGTACAGTGGAAAAAGGCCTGAATCTGGCAACAGTCACTCTGCAGGATGCAGGTTGAGGGAGTATTGCCTAACGTAAAGCAACTTCGAGTGCGGCTGGGCCAGCTGTCTGAAACCCAAGTGTACAAAGTACACTGACAAAAAGGACAAGGCATGGTCAAATTGTGTTTATTGGACTCTGCCCCGACATAATTTACTGCTCTTAACCAGTGCTTCATCGACTGGTCATTCAGTCTGATTCCTGTAAGCATGAAAAAGCAGTCACTGAGCAATTCCTTATTATGAGGCTGTTACACTGATAAGCTGACGTGCACGGTCCCTCTTCCAGCCACAGGAATAGTCCTGAATCCCTGCTGGTAAGGGAAGTGAAAAAACTAGGACCATGGAAAACCAGTGTGTTGTGTAAGGAAGGGCTGGAGAGGTCAAAGGAAGGGGAAAATAGGATTTAATATTTGAAATAAAGACTTGCTCAGTGGTTGGATTTATATTTAAGACATTCTGACAGGTGATAAAGTCATCTAGAAGTCCTCCTAGTGCGGGGTGGGGGGCGGCACAAACATGATCTGTCGACTTTTATTTCCTCTTTATTTGGAGGGGGGAAGGAGGGTCCTAGTCTTAGTTATCCTCTTTGAAAGAAGTAAATTCCTTCTAAAATGTCTTTTCAGGACCTTTTGTCCAGTGTAATATTAATTGGCTCAAGTAATAGAGATTTCACCACTCCTCTTGACCGTTCTTCAGGCGAAATGGCTCTCTGGGTGGACAGTGTGCTCTTTACTTATTCAGGGGGAATGTATTTCTGCTAGCTTATTCTTAAGGAGTTTTGGGGGTGTAATTTGTCAAGGATGTCAGCCTTAGATAGATGTCCTTTTGTTCAGACGTTTTTCCTCAAGTACCAAAACTTAAATAGATAAGCATTTGCTAGATGCCTCTATATATTCCCTTCCCTTCTAGTCTATGTACAAAGTCGTGCTTTGTGCACAGAACGCACAAAGTATTACAGGATTTGAGGTTTGTTTGGTTTTCAAAAGTTTTTGCAGTGTTGGAAAAAATAATTTCTGTCAATGCAGATTGGGAAGGATAATCTCGTTTTCTCCTTTGCATTTGCACAATGATTTTGTAAGTTGAATTGCAAGACTTCAGACACACACAGCTGTGTAAATCTGTAAATTTTTTTTTTAAATTTAATTTAAATTTGATTGAAGTTGTGAAATTGAGAATTTAATATTGAGGAACTTAAACCCAAATTTGGTCTCTGTGAATGCAAAGATGGATATTTGACATATGTTTTCTGGGGTTTTTTTAATGTCCCTTCGGAATCAAGGAAATTACTATAATTTCATTCATTCTTTTCCAGATGGGAATGACAGGTAGCACTAGTCCCTTTGGGCAACCTTTCAGTCAAACTGGAGGACAGCAGATGGGAGCTACAGGAGTGAATCCTCAGTTACCAAACAAGCCAGGCATGGCAAATAGTTTGTCTCCCTTTCCTGCCGACATCAAGAGTACTCCCGTCACCAGTGTGCCAAATATGGTGAGTTGTACCTGCCTGTTTCCCTTATTCATTATGTCTTGATAGTGCATTCTAAGTTCTTGGGTGATACAGCTTCTGCAGTGTTACTGGACTACTTCTCCATGGTCATTTAAACATCAGAGTTGCCCCATGGTTCCGCACTACTGCTCTGCAGTGTGTGTAGAAAGTTTGTGTATGTTTTTATGCAGTAATTTAGCTTTCTAAGCAATCACAGTGTTTTCATGTAAGAATTGCATTACATCCTTTCATTTTGTCTGGTACATTTAGTTCCAAACCAGATGAAAATGTCTTCTCTGTAAGTGCTGTTTGTAGATTTAAATTCCTAAATCAATTAGAATGTGTTGGATAAATCATCAGCTTCCTGAAACTAAGTAGTACCTTTCATATCCTTTGAATCTAATGTGGTAAACACACGGCATGCTTCTCAGTTTATATTGTGCATGACTTGCAGCTCACAAGCTCATGAGAATAGTTCTTCTTAGGATACCTTGTCCAAGTTTGTAGTATTCTGTTTACTAGAGTTTTCTTTATAAAGAGAAATTAAATATTCCCATTTGTCTCAGTATGTCTGTGTATTAATCAAACTGCTTGTGTCGTTTCTATGGAAACTCCAGCTTGTTGCATTTTATATTCTTATACAAGATAGCAGTTACTATAGAAACTTGTAAAACCTTCCATAAGATGCAAATTGCTTATTTTTTAATTTAACTAGAAAACCAGCTATTTTTTGGTACAAGCAATACTTGTCCTTCCATCAGTGAGTTTGCTACCTGCCTGTCAGTAATAAGGCTATATATGAGAGGGAACAGGATGTAATAAACTTCCTCTTTTCTCCTGATTTTAGAGACCACTTCCTAATTTTCCTTTAGTTACACTGTGAAATCTTTGTTTAATATCATCTGTCATTTGCTGCTTATGACTATGGAAAGGAGCTGGTGACCAAGATTAAGACCATGTTCAGAATACCAGTTGCACTCATGCAGAATATTTGTAAAAGACAATTTGCTGCATGACTATTCTAATTTTGTTTTTAAATTTTTTTAAGTTTGGATCAGATGTAAAGCAAATGAATTATTGCCCTGATTCTGCAGAGAACCTGCAAATCTGCCCAAAGTGCTGTATTCATCTCAGGGACTGGATGATTCTAAAGCCTAATTTTGTGCTCATTTAAAAGTCAGGTTTTGGGAAGCCTAAATCTTAATGTACTCGCTTACTAGTGTAGGAAGTAATAGCAGATATTCAGGTGGAATAAAAAAGGCATTTGCTATCAAGGCTTGTCTAGTGGTGGGGGAGGAAGTAAAAGAAAAAACTTTCAGTTTCCTTTCTCCTGTCTTGTCCAAGAGACAGAAGAAAGTAGGGGAAACTTACATTCCCAGTACTATCAATTGCAGTTTCTTTAAAATGTCAAAAATATCAGTTGTCTTCTGAGAGGACAATCAAAACCATCTTTCTTTGTTTCTCAGGTGTCAAAAGCTTCATATGTCCAATATATCTTTTTCTCCCTCAAGCCAATACGGAGAGTAATAGCCATTTCAGCTGATAGACATCTGTGCTGTCGAGCCAAAAGGTCTCAACCCTGCTTATGGATCATGTGGTGGTTAGAGTTTGATTGCGGTCCTGATGGGGGTGGAACTTTTGTCTTTAAAAACTGAAGTTTCCATCCAAACATTTTTATTGCAAAGCCAAGAATTTAAAAGGAGATGTCAGACTTGTTGAATTTTAACCTTTACTTGGCAGCAGTGGGTAAGGCAGTGTAATTATTTGGTAGTAGTACGTACATGGCCATATGCTATTCCTTCCACAGGGACTTTGCTTTATTCAGTAGCATACAATATGAACAGTGCCCTCTGAAAGAGCATATAGTCAACATTTTGTTCTATTTTTGCTGCTCAGTGTGTAGCTGTGGGCCTTGTTGACTGTATGTAGTAGTATATTTCACTCAGCCAGTCTTTTCCAAACAGTCTTTTCTGTGGCAGTCATCACTGCAGCAGGCATATACTTTGGATTAGTTAATGTTCACAGTGCCTCTCTGAGATAAAGATGTGTTGCCCCAGTTTTAAATATGAGGCTGAGGGGCACAAAGACAGTAAGACTGGAAGAATCTGCTGACTCTGAACTTGAGGTTTGTAGGCTCTGGCTTGCTAAAGCCTTCCTCATTTCATATGTTAAGACATTATCTAAGGGTAAAATAACATTCACGTCAGTTAGATGTGTGCTCCCATAACTCATGGAAGTGATGTCTCTCTCACATTGGGCAACTAAAATACGACCCCAAATGGCACTTGTGAAAAGTTGCTTGTGACAGAGGCAGCTCCCCAGAGCAGAGTTGCAGTGTTTGAACTATTACGCCATGCTTTCTTGCTGCAATCCCTTCGCCATTTGCTATGTCCCATGATGCTTTAGAACCCTAGAGATGGCGGTTTGATTTCATGTATTTGGCCTTGTGCGTGGTCAGCTGGAGACATGGTCTGTCCTGTTTCCTGAAGGAGGCAGGAGTGAAGTGGAAAAGGGTGTAGTGTTATCTTACCGTCTATCAAAAACGAACCTGTAAAGGATCAGTTCAAACTCCATCTACTACAGCAAGCGAAAGACCAAATACATCTTTTTAAAAAGACCTCCAGGGTTTTTTGTGAGATGATTGGAACCACGTATCTTGCTTAACCAGCCCTCTACTATCCTTATGTTAAAGGGCCCCAAAAGTACTATTCCATGTGAGAGACAAACCCATGTGAATGAAAACATGGGTTATATGTGGCATGTCTGAGGCAGGAAACCAGATTCCAGCATGACGTTGAACACCTTGGTTACCACTAAGAATATCTAAATAAGAGAAGAGGAAATAGAAAGGTGCAGCCGTTGTCTGAAGACCCCTTGGTCCTGAAAAGCATCTCATTTTCTGAATACTCCTTTCAGTCTTTTGCCTTTCTCTGTAACCTTATGTGTACACTGCAAAATTAAAGCAAAAGACGAGTGTGTTTCTTAATGCACACTATTCTAAACATCATTATGTGTGGCACCCCTGTCCCAAACACTAACCAGGAGTTTTCTCACTTCCAGGCATAACCCTCATGCTGGCAGCCAGGATAAACCTCTGCTACAGCAGTGGATTTTTTTTTTAATCCAAATTCAGGCTACCACTCTCCTAAGAACAACACTCTCACTCCCTGCCTTCCAAATGAAGTGGTTCTCAGAAGTGTTAGTTCATTGCATCTTCCAGCCCTTGTTCTAAGCATGACCTTAACTAGACCCCGAGAAGCGCATTTGGTTTAATGTCTTTAATTAGGAAAGAAGTAACGAACCTTATGGTATTAAAATGATTAAAAGGTCAGCATTAAGGTATTAATTTTCAGTGCCAGCCGGATGGATTGATTTTTGTTTGGTTGGTTTGTTTTCCTAACTGTGGATCCGAACAACCTACTAGCTTTTGCTTTGTGTGACTGTTGCAGAATACAATCAGTTTTCCTTACAGAATGGGCAGCTTGAAATCTTGAGTGAATGACTTGTTTCCAAAAGAAAGATGTTGCTTCTGACGTTGTTGGAAGTTTTGGTGACACGCTATCGAGATTCAGTGTCACTTAAATTGTTCAATGCAGGATTGGCAATGCTCTGCTGCGGTGAGATCATGCAAAATCTCTGGACTGTGGAAGTGAGCCATGCTCTGCACTTTGGCACTCAGCACAGTGTGCAGCCTGTACGGGAGCCAGGAGCCTCTTGTTTTCGGAGTACCCAGGCTCCAGGATGTGCTGTCAGTGGGGGGAACCCTGTTAGACCTTTCCATCAAACTTGCTGAAGCTTTGCGGTGTCTGCAGCGCTGCACATTCCAAGGGTGGTGATGGATGGTTTCTTCATGGACATACCAGTAAATCTAGTATTTCTACATGGGTTAGGAGTACAATGTGTGAAGTTTTGCTTCCAGACACCAGTTTGGTTTCACAGTTACCCTTATGACCAGCAGATGGAGTTGAGAGAATATGACTTTTTGGAAGCTAAGGAAATCGTTTCTCTTCGGTTCTCTTGACTTAGAATTGGAGCGGCACATCTTCTCGTGCATTTTTTTTTCTGATCTCGTATTAAACTGCATCTCGAGTGTTCTGTTATGTATGTTCCTTGCTTCTCTGTTTCTTTTTATGTCCCTTGGATTTCTTTATTAACAGATTTTGGTCAGAAGAGAGGAAAACAATGATCTTTAAGACTGGGGTATAGGGAGGTCTTAGGTGTGCCTTGCTGCAGGCCTCCTAGAGAGAGGAAGAAAGCTTTTAAACTCGGAGGCCAAGTTTAATTAGAACAAGTAGAACTGTAGCTACTTAAAATAGACAACTCGTATTTTAGTCTAGAGACTGGAAATAAAAGGCTTTATGAAAAATCTGTCTATTGTGTCCTTATAGTGAGGAAGGCTTGCTTTCTTAACCTTTCAGTGATTTTTTTCCTCTCTTGCAGCAAACTCGGTCTTCTCTTTCACTGCAGGAAAGGTCTGTGACTGTTGCCCCAGAAGCATGCTGTGTGTCTGCTTCCTGCTCTCATCAGCAGGCTCCCAGTCTCAGGTGGGCTTGCTGTTTGCTGTGCTCACCTTCCCTGTGCCTGCCCTGGCCTGCACTCTGAAAAGTTTCTCTTTCCCAGGCATGCTCACTCCTTCTCTTCCTCAAGAAAATCCCACCTGATTTGAAGTGGAGCAGCAGCCTAGCGAACAGCTGGGAAAAGCTCTTGTCTATATTGCTTAGCCATGGTCTTCTAATGGAAAAGATCTTAACCTGGAAACAAATCTAACAGATAGTGTTCAGTGCCAGAGAAACTGTGTTACTGTGTCGGGAGCAGAGTAGACATCTCTGTCCTCTTGGTGCAGGAGTTCATCCTGGGAACGTGTATTGCTTTGAATGGTGGAACATTTTAGTTTCTGCACCGTCCCTAAATAATGGTGCCAGACTGGCAAAAGCGAGCTGAAAAGAGGATCTGCTCTTTCCGAGCACTCTGGCTCATGTTCCACTCTTCCGTCTCCCAAATAC